ATGCAAACCTTCCCAGAGGCGTAGGGGCAGGCAGGCGATTTCCTCTCAGCTGTTATCTAGCCGGTGCCCCACAAAACGCGACCAAAGCCACCCCAGTGCTTTCTGCATGCTGTACAGTGCACAGCCTCAAGGACTCACTAAGGACACGGCGGTTGTCGGGGAAGAAACCTCAAGCCACCCCTGTTTTACAGGCCGTCACTCACCAGACCCAACACTTCCCAACCCCGTAGCTCCGGGGCTGACATGCCCAGCTGACAGACCTGGCTGTTCCTCGCCCAGCTCCGCTCTCCATCCCCAGGGACACGTGCCATCCCCAGAGTGCTTGTGCAGCTGATTTCAAAGGACGGAATGAAGGAATGCTGGCAGCCTCCGCAGCCAGCTGCGGGCTCAGCTATCCTGCTTGGACAGTCGCTTTAAGCCCCCCACCCTGACACCGTTATACTACGACGGATGCAGATGTGCCAACAGCAGTTAAATTACAGCCAATCACACAACTTCAGGTCTGCGTTCGCCCCTCATTCACCCGCGCATTAGCCCAAAGCACCGCAAAAGGAGTTTTTCCTGAAGTTCTGTTTTCCAGACTCTGTGCCACCTGCGCACCCTGCCCCAGCGCTCCCTCACCAACAACGAGCTCCTCCTACAGCCACTACTCCGTCCCCTCTGCCTTCTGTGGGAAAGGACAGAGACTCGCATAGAATTCTGCCCCACTAACTTCTCTTGATGTTTTTCGTTGGTGTGTCTTACGCTAAGCAGTTAGTAGTTCTTTCCTGGAGACAACCAAGGGGAGAAGGGAATGGTGCCACTCTCCTCCCAGAGGAAGGATACTGTTTTGCCTTCTCAGCTCCTTCTCTTTTCAATGCTTTCCGGTGCTGTTTCACTCCGTCGTTTCTCCGCCCTGCTTCCCCTTCGGTTTCTGAGCACAGACTCCACAGAATCCACAGCTCCTCTCTGGATGTCCCTGGAGAAGCGCAGGTTTTAGTATCTTAGTGAGAAAATAGGTTTTGTTCCTCCCGCAGCAACTGGTACAGCAACAGGAAGGACAGTTAAGTGGACTCACTCCTGGTAGCAGGGATTTAACTT